ATAATAATAGGTTCCAACAAATCTCTTTTCGCTAAAAGACTACCGACATCGGGAGGCGACAAAGGGTGTGTTCATGATACATGATCGAAACAACGTTTTTTTGGTGATTTCAATTTGAATGATGTTGACTGGACGGTAATAAATGCAATCTCATCTTCCTCCTTTCTCTTTGTTTCGTTTTTTGAACGTCTGAGGCTTCCACAACTAGTCAAAGCTCCCACAATAGGAACTTCGAATCTGGATCTGATCTTTGTTAAGAATGAGGATTGCTTTTTACATCAGGGATATGCCCCCTTGGCAATCGCGAATCACAATATGGTGTCTTTCAACACACCTTGTCTACTGGCCATAACGATGTGTTTAAGCATTTAACTGGCGTGACTACTCTAAAGCTGACATGAGATTTATGAAAGATGTACTGTCATGAATATGGTTCGTGAAACCTGGACATTGTGTTATAGCCTCTATTCTGTTTAGCCAACCTCCCTATTCTGTTCCAGGCCTCTAAGGAAGTGCTGCCGATACGTGAGGCTAAATAAAAACTTGAAACAAACTTGGTTGACTAAACAGAATAGTGACGACCTACTGTTGAATGCTAGTTGGCTTAGCGTGTTTAATATATACTCTAACATTGATGATCTTTGTGATCGCTTTTCGATTATAATTCACGATTCAATATGAACAATATGTCCACTTCGAACAAAGAAATTCCTTCTTCTCTACGCTATCCTTACCATATAGAAAATCTCTGGATGCAAAAAATTAGACTGTTTTTTAGTCTTTATAATTCTTTAAACAATAGTACAAAGCTGTTTCTAAGTAGTACTCATATCGTTTGCGGCGTTACTCGAAACAGAGAAAAAGGGAATGATTGAAAAAAAGTGGTAAATGTAAACTTTGGGCCTATCTGAAGAAACATCTTAAAGAAAACAAATTCTTTGATTGTTTGCAAGAATTCAACGGTAATGTCTGCAATACTTCCATCTCCAAAGCTGAAGCATTGGCAGATCAGTTCTCTTCTGTGTTCTCAGAACCTTCTGCTTTACGTCTTATGTTGTTGAACAGATCCTCCGATTGTTGGCCCCTACCAATGATAAACTCCAGATAGACTCATACGGAAACTCTTTAAAAAGTAAGTCCAACGTCTCTATTACATTTGGCATTGACCTGTCTTTTACAAGATCTTTGCTAATGACTTAGCACTTCCATTAACTCATATTCACAATATATCCTGATAAATGCAGAAGCGCCTTTTTTTTTGAAAACCGCCAACGTTACTCCTCTCCAGGACGTCTTTCAATCCCAACTCTCTGACTACAGACCAATAAGTAACCTCCCGACTCCTTGCAAAATATTAGATAAAATATCTGTTAGAGATCTGTTGCATTGCCTTGAGAACACAAAATGTCTTCCCAAGCAACAACATGGATTTTCGCAAGCCCGATCTACCACACAACTTGTTAATGTTCAATTTGATTGGGCAGAACTATTGGGTCTAAAAAAATTCTCTTTGATCGTATAAGGCATTCTGATCACAACCTTCTTTTGTCGAAGCTGGAAAGCTTGAGAGTGGGAGGTTCACTAGTGAACTGGCTCAAATCTTATCTCCAGGATAGAAGCTTCTCTGTTCGTGTACTCGACAGAATTTCGAAGGCTAGGTTTTGTGAGTCTGGGGCTCCCCAAGGCAGTATTCTGTCGCCGATTTTCTTCATCATATACAGGGTGTCCCAAAAAAATGTATCGAACGTTTGATCGTTAATATCTCTCTTCTAAAGAAGTCTTTTCTCTTGCTTCAGGTACCAATCTGTAAAGCTGGCTTCAACTTAGATTTGCGTTATAGAACGAATCACTCATTTCTCTTCATTACTGTAGGATTACGGTAGAAACTTCGAAGAGGGTTTTAAGCAATGAAAGGCCATGTTTTGCCTTAGAAAGGAAACAAAACAGCCTGAAAGCTTTTACACTAGGCTAATTAGAGTTGCTGATTATAACTGTAAAGTTTCCAACTTATTATGATGCTTCATTGAAGAGTTGTGCCAGGTAAGAGGTAGCGGCCATTTTTTCAATATTCCTAAAAAGTGCGATTACACCGTTTAGAAAGCTTCGTAATCTTGTGAATAGTTGAGTATTGAACTCAGCATCCATAAAAACCCTATTACACATGTTTTCACATTTTTTTTTCGAAAAATTTTGAAAAGGCAACTTTTTCCACATTGACACCATAGGTTTCAAGTTTCTACCGTAATCCTACAGTGATGAAGAGGTATGGGTGATTCGTTCTATAATGCAAATCTAAGTTGAAGCCAGCTCTACAAAACGGTACTTGAAGCAAGGCAGAAGACTTCTTGGGAAGAGAGATATTAACGATCAAACGTTCGATACATTTTTTTGGGACACCCTGTATATTGACTCGTCAGCTGTCTTATCACAGATCCACGAGTTAGAGTTGCAGCGTACGCTGATGACTTCAGAATATCGTCTAGACCAGCACGATAAGATGACTGCTCATGCAGCACTTTGTAATATAATCTTTTGAGCGATTTATGGGCAGATAGAACATTAAATTGATATAGAACATTAAATTGATACCCCAAAAGTTGCCCTGCCCCAATGGCAGAACCCTCCATCCAAGTGATAGCAGCTTTGATCTGGAATGCAAATTCTCAGTAAAAGACCTGGGTGCTCTCTCAAATTCTAGAATGAGAAATTTGTGTCACATAGAAGAAATCTGGGTATGGTGCAAGAGGAACGATAGCTGTTGCCAGCCGCTTCTTCCAACGCACAGAAATGCATTATTTGCCTTGTAAGCCACGAATTTTACACGCATTGAAAATAAACAGAATTAAGATAAATGCTTTGCTTGTGAGTGTTACTCATAAGTTGCAGTTCGATGAGCTATTTCGAAAAAAAAAATAAAATATGCGATTTTACCTCTGAACCTTTTCTGTATTTTCTGCGTATTTTCATATCTAATTTGCAAGCTAACAATTACTATTTGATTCTCCGGTATAATCGAAGGCATAAAAGAAAGAAACACTTCGAATTTCTGCATGCGGATGGGCAAAAATGAGAGTAAAGAATGCGCTGGTTACTGACACCGCAAGCTATCGTCGCTTGGCAGATAGTAAGTATATATTTGTGATCAGCGTTTCAAGGCGAGTTCGATGATATGCAATTGATTCAACTGGCTGAGCTTCGGCAAAGGCGGGCTTCGTGACCTAATTAAGGCTAGGTAATGATCAGAGAGCACTCGCGCGCGAGAGACGCAGGTGCGTCGCAGGCGCGAGCGGCCTGCCCTGACGGAGCTAAACCAGTTGAATCAAAGATACAGTGTGTTTGGTATGGCTGGGTTGAGTTCCGAACATTCCCTGTTTAGTTGGAGGCTCGTTTAGCGTTTAAAAAATATGAATAAAGCCGTCTCTGGACATAGAAGTTGGAGGAAATGGCAACAATTACTTGTCGCAGTTCTTCATCGTAGAGCTGGCAAGTAGATTTACAGCTATGACGATTTTATCATTGACAACTTTACCTCACAACCGATTTTTTTTTTGGCTTTTGGTGAAAGGGGTCACCTCGAGTCTCGACTCAGGGGACGAAAGGGGATGAGCAAACTCTCACACCGCTGTTGATTAGCCCAGAAGTCTCTCTGTGTTCTTCGGCCGTTAGTCGCATATGTAATGAGGTAATTATCCTTCTTGATGTAGTATGTGTTCGCGAAGACCAGATCATGAGCAATCTGGTATTAGCCTTAAGGCTAATTGCAGAATGCGCTCACCTTCTTCATTGCATGTTCCGTATTCGTGGTCTCCGTGACATTTCCCGGCTTCTCCATGCCTTTCTCCCACATGCCCGTTGAGGTCCGCTCCTAGCAGAATTGTCTCATCCAGTGAAACTGAACTGATATGTTCATCAAGCTCCTGCCGGAACGTGTCCTTTTCATCATTCTTACATTCGACTTGTGGTGCAAAAGCGGTGATTACTCGCAGGACCTGTTTCCCAGTTACTATATTTGTGCTCATCAGACGACCGCTTATGCGCTCAACTTCAACTATATTGCTCCTTAGAGTCTTTGAGACAGCTATACCAACTCCGTTTCTTATGCAGTTGGCATCATTGTAGAGGAGCTTATATATTTTTCCGATGTCGCGTGACTTTGCCTCGCTCCACTTCGCTTCCTTTATGCAAGATACATCGACTCGCTGTCTCTTTAGAAGTTCTGCTAGCTTTCGAGAGCGAGAGGTGAGTGTACCCATATTGATGATAGCTAGGCGATGCCTTGGGTCGTTGCCTCTAAAGGACTGGCCGCTTCAGCTCTTCCCGTTCACCCTGCTGAGACGGTTACCCTCGCCCACTATTGCATTCGTCGGGCTCCGGGTCGCTTCCGGGGGACACCCCATTCTCTACTCGAGTAACTGTATGAGACATGTCTGCAGTGATTAATGCGACGGGGTGTTTTCAGCCTTGTCGCATGCCCTTTTTTGGAAGAGCAGCGTGACAAGCTGGCTGGAATCGTGAGCAGAATTCTTGGGGCAGAATTTAGGCTCAGGGTGGACTCGAATTTGTGAAGGTCCTTCAGCACGGCAATGTTATTAATGCACTAACCACTAGACTAAATCTGCTCCGAAAGAAATAAATAAGTTTTTAAAATAACCGAACCTCTCTAGCCGTCCTAAGTTGCCACATGTAACCTCATTGTAGAATGTATCTCGTTCATCCTTGAACCAGCGTACGGAAGCATCCATGTACCAAACAGCACCAAATTCTTTCAATGTCATCTAAACGTGCGAGCCTTATACAGCTTGAAAAGTCCATCAAATCAGACTGACTGCTATCAAGATGGGTTTCCATCTATACTCCTCGAGTTTTGCGACATAGTCAGGATACAGCTCGAAAGGAAACTTTCGTAATTTCACAAAGCATTTACTCTTGAAAAATTTGTAAGTAAGACAATGCGATGGCAGCGCACTTACTTGCACATCCACTGCTGACTTGTTATTAAGGCCTAGATCATAAACGAAAATCCACTCCGTTTTCCAAATTTTGCGGATGTTTGCTATCTGTAAAAGCTTTTAATTTTTTATGGCTTTGCACAGAGTTTTGAAAGAACTGCATAAACCGTGTTTAAGTGCTCTAACAATTTCTGGTTGCGAAGGTGTAGATGTGGAGTGTTGAGATCAAGGACCGGTATGGCTGATACACGGGCATGCTGGATATCTTTTTATAGTTGCAATAGATTGGTGTTGTACATACTCGTCTGCGCTCATATACGTGCTTCCAGTTCAGCAGCTTTGTGAACAATTTAAGTGCATCGTCCGGCGAATTCTCCGCTCGAATTATGTCAAGTGGGCCAAATCATGGCTTTGACAACAAGTCTGAACTTAAAGGCAGCGGACAGGCAAAATGGACCCCTGTCAGATTTTGGTAGTTTCGGGTAGTGGACCCCCCAAGTACACCGTAGCCCCAACCTCACATTCCAATTCATGCGCTAAGTCCTGAAAAAAACGCTTCAAAACTCCACCAGCCCCGCCCACTTGCATTGAGTGGGCGTTATTGGTGGAAGTTTGAAGCGCTTTCTTCAGGACTTAGCGCATAAATTGGAAGTTGGGGTTGGGGCTACGGTTTACTTGGGGGGTCCACTACCCGAAACTACCAAAATCTGACAGAGGTCCATTTTGCCTGTCCACTGCATTTAATTCGCGCTAATTCCCGAAATATCCCTTTGAAGACCCTAAACGCGAACGGGAACTTCGATACTGAATCAGCGTATGTAGACGGTTCATAGGCACAGTTCCTACGGAAAACGTGTGTCAATTGTGAGGCCTTGCGAGGTGAGGATGCTGAGACTGGCATTTAGAAAAGCGATGTACATCGTTATGGTCCTTTCGAGACATAACATATCCACTTTCCAAATCTGTCAAACGGTCCCCTAATAAATTACGGCCCTTAGTTTTCCAGGTTTTGAGCTGTCTACAAAAGAATACGAGTAATTATGTACATTCAGCAGAAGTGTTTCAAAAACGCAGTCATAATGAAAACTACTAATGCTCGCTATTCGTGAAAAGTTTCGGAATTGTAAGAAACGCAAAGAGGTGCTACGACGGGATGAACCGGTACTTTATGAGTGAAAACTAACTATCCTCATTATCAGAGTTTCTATTAATGATGCATTGTAGCGTAGTCGATTCAAGTGTAGACAGGGCAAGACTCTAGACTTCGGAATTCTTTATCCCTTCCTGCTTCCAAATTATGTTGTAAGTTCTCTTATCTTTGAACCGTGGCATGTTCTTGAGGATGAATAATTTCAATTGTTAGATTATGCTGAACACGTTGTTATAGATATACTTTATTGCTCGACGTTCCGACGAAAGTTGTCTTCAGGGGCTGAAAAGCCGTCAATTACAATGATACACGGTAGCTGTAGCCAAATATCTCCACCAACTTGCCACTAAATTCGTCTTGAGTTTAGGGGCGAAATTTCACCCAAATGTTTGATCAACCTTCGCTCCCAAAATTTTTGCTTCCACTCAAGAAGAATCGAGTGGCATGTCGGTGGAGATATTTGGCGGCAGAGATCGTGTGACAATGTTAACGCCTTTCAGTCCCTGAAGACGGCGTCTTGCCGAAACGTAGGCAATAATGTTTATTATCTTAACAACCTGTACGGCATAATATAACAATTGAAATTATTCATCTTTACAAATTGTTTTGCAGATTTGTAAAGCAGGTATGTTATTAGTGTCCCGAAACGACATTACTGATGGGTCCGCACAGATATGAAGAAGATGGTTTCAGGGGGTCCTCGTGAGCGACCAGTGTGTCACCTCTGCCGCGCAGAGATTCGCACTAGCAATTCACCATAAATCAGTGGCGTACCGAGGGGGTGGAGAGCGCGCGCCTCCCCCTCCCCCGAGAACGGGTCGCGAAATTTTTGAAAGTTACTTACACGGGTTATAAAATTGTGCAAATGACTTGGTTAGCCACGCCCCCTTTTCTGAAATAACGGGGTTCTGAGCCCGCGCAAATTTTAGGGAGGATATCAAAAAAATTTTCGGAGTGCGTGACTCAAGCCACGCATCTTCATCGGAAAAAACTTGTCGCCTCCCCCCCCTCCCCAAGCCGAAATCCTGTTACGCCACTTCCATAAATATGTTTCCACCTACTCGCGCGTCAGAAACGTCTTTTTTGAATCACAGTACAAAAAATAATGTCCTGCTTTCCGCATGACAACATAGAAGTTAACTGAATGATGCTGAGCATCACAAATAAAATGCTAAAAGCTATCCTAAAATCCTCTGCTACAAAGAATTGGTGTTTTTATTGAAAAAAACCTTTTAGATAAAGGATACGTACAGATTTAATATAATAACAAAGTGTTTGTTGACTTAGTATCAAGACTGCGTCAAACATAAAGGCATAACTTTGCAAAAAAGCTTGCATAAGAACTTAGATATGCAAAATTTGTGATCAAGAGCTTTTTTAGAACTCGCCGAATCTCATAAGTGACAGACAGACACATTCATACACATATAAATGCAAACAACCATTAGCAGATTGTTACAACTAAGATAACTGAAACTATAGATTACTCCAAGCACCCAGCGCTTTTATTTTGAAGATGTGGGAAGGTGGTCGCCTCATCAAATAGCATGTGAGTACGTCAATTTTGCCCAAGCGTCGCCTTTGTGGAAGGATCATTTATATCAAACGTAGTCTCGTGCGTGATATGAACTTGTGCGCGAGATTGACAAGTGGCTTGGTTTATGAAACTTTGACATTACATCAACAAGCAATGATATGACACCAGGTTTTGTGTGTTTTGGTGCGACGAGAAGAGAACGATGTTCAACAAACTACGAAAAAATTAATGTGAGTGAAAGCTGTCTTCAACTTTCTAAAGTTAGCTTGTACTTCAAGTATCTCGCCAGCTGGGCTGGCATGGACAAAGCATTTGATTCTTTAATTTTTTCTCGTCTTAGATGATTCGTTTAATTTTATACATATGTGCTGCAGCAACTCTATTACCAAACAGGTCAAGTTTTGCCTTCCCTGGTTTGTTGCACCTTAAATGATATAGAAACCGCAGTGTCCTTGATTTCCGCTTCATCATTTCGGAACTTTTGTATATCTTCACTCAAAAAGTATGTCGTGATATTTCGTAAAACAAGGGAGACTGTGGTCCGTAGTAAACCTCCATCAGGGCATCTCTGCTAAGGCGGACAGGAGCTGATCTCATCGCGCCTCAGCACATTGCCAGGGGAGCGATTGATTTGGAAGGTCACTTACTGGACATTTGCGTTTTCAAAGTTGGAACGTTTCTGCCGTTTGTGCATTATTAGTCAAATGGATAAGACTAATGTGCAAGCGGCGGGGCCGTGGTTCGAGTGCGGCTAGCGGCACCATTTTTGCTGCTTGGCCCGGCGACCTTTGATAGCGGCCGCTATCGAAAAATCGATGATAGCCGCTATCAGAGATTTCATCTAGCAAACAACAAGTTAAAACAAATACACACTTTTTTGGCATACATACGAGGAAAAAATACACTTAGCATCAATAAATAGAAACGTAAATTCACATTCTTGTTATTTGAAGCGGTTCTTTGAAAAAAACAAGCAACAACTGCAAGAAAACACAAAAAAAACTTTTTTCCGATTTCGTCGCGCAATCAGCTGTTCATCGATCCTCACTCACTTAGGCGCCCGAAATTGTGCAATTTTGGGAGTTTTGCACCGCAAAAGAACGTCATCTGCGATGTTTCGTAAGTTACTCCGGAGCAACTTACGGGGATTTTCTCTATGTTCTCCTCTTTAGCACACTATTTACCTTATGTCGTCGCCCGGCTCATCTCCGATGACTCCGGTAGGGAGTTGATCTCCCTGCCGGGCTTCATCTGAAGCTCACCTGTAGGGTGACCTTGCATATTTACACCACAGAAAGTGGGCAGTCCTCATCTCATCCGACAAAGCCTCATATGAGGGCCTCAGGGGAGATCATCTCCCGTGACCGAGCTTTACTACGGGCCTATGTTTTCGAATGTCTCCTAGTGCTAATGCCTACTGAGCCCTACAGACAAAGGAAGCACGTTTAGTTGAAGGGGGTTTTTGAACGAGAATTTATACGACGCTGAGGGGCATGAAACGCTGATTTCAAATCTGCCTTCCCTACCTGTGGAAAGCGAAAGCATGAAAGCGCTAAAAAAATATCACCACTGTTGTTGTCTTACTTGTACATCCAACTTTTTGCTCCAACAAACGCTCATACCTCCTTGTTCGTATATGTTCCGCAGATAAGGAAGGCAGATTTGAAACTAGCGTTTTGTGCTTCTCAACGTGCCTTCATACCGCGCCGGCAGCCGCCGCTAGCAGCCCTAGCAGCCCATAGCCGCCGCTGGCCGGCTTTGTTATAGGAGCGAAATCGTCAGAATCTTACTGCTTTGAGTGCTCCTGTCAACGCTTTTCATCTGCTACGCTTATTCCTTCTTATTACCGCTAATATGCAGTTCAATCCCCTCCCCCCACATTACATTTGTGTTCATTGTTCTGTTCCGTACACTGTATCCTATCGCGCTCACATTCTTTTGCAATCTGTCTTATTTAAAACGATTGTGAGCGATAATCAAAGCCAGAAAAACTCAACCCGCAAATGAATTCCGGCGAACTCGCAAAATAGTAAAATGCAAGTTAGATATGCACCAATAACCAACAAAAAATTGAGCAAAAGCATACTCAAGAAACAAATTGCACACCTGCAGGAACCGGACGCATCCAAAGGCAGGGCGAATTACGCCGGAAAATCTTCTGCGAACTATAGTTATACAGGAAGACCATACGACGAGGAGATAATGACAACAATGGGCACATATATGATATGTGATTGAACTGCATACTGACGGCAACAAAGGAAAAAGCGTGGATAATGAAAAGCGTAGGCAGGAGCACTCATAGTAGTAAAATTCTGATAATTTTGCTTATATAAACGAAAGCGGCCAACGGCGGCTACGGGCTGCTACGGGCTGCTGGCGGCTGCTACGGGTTACTAGTGACTGTTGCCGGCGCGGTATGAAGGCACCCTTAATGTGGTACGCATCCCAATTGAAAAAGCCACTTCAACTAAACATGTTGTCCTTGTGCGCATCATCAGCTATTAGCAGCATGCTAAGAAGGCAGTTGTAAGTCTTTGCAGAATTTCGCAAGCTTGCTAGCTTTTTCCAAAGCTTTCTCAATGTTATGAGAGGATTGAACCAAAAAAGAATTTGCAGAGGTTTCAACTGTTTTGAAAGACTGTCGTGTATTACAAATAGTGCCGTCCTTCGGTGATAAAAAAGCGGTATTATAACATGTAATATGATCTTTATGAGCATAAAACGCTCTACATTTCATATGCAATTTATCACCTTACTTCACCGCGTCGTGCGTTGCAGATTTTGGATTGAGCGTAGCTCATTTTCGTAAGTCCTTTAATCTTATTGTAAAGACCAGAAGTTCTTTAAAGGCAGCGTCCAGGCAGCTCTGGACCTATGGGGATTTTACGTGGAAACTACTTTTGGGGTCCTAATTTAGGCACTGCTCAAGCGGCAGCGCAGGTTGTGCTCTAACGGCTAAGATATTCTCCTCGAAACTGAACCCCGCGATCGTATTCGCATGGATTCATGGCATTCGCGCCAGAACCCACGCTTTGTGCCATGAATCCATGCGAAATACGATCGCGGGGTCCAGTTTCGAGGGGAATATCTCAGCCGTTAGAGCACTAACTGAGCTGCCGGGTGGGGGGTGGCCTAGTTAGGGCCCCAAAATTACTACCCACGTGAGATCCCCATGTGCCCAGACTTGCCTGGACGCTGCCTTTAGAATCAAACGGTCTGTCATTGAATTTGCTCGTTCTTCTTGGATAGATTCATTTAGCTTGCGGCTATGCATTATCGGGGGACGAGTGGCGTACTAAATGAGGCGCCGCTATGGCCAGATCCCAGCTTCGATCCACGCCCCGGGCCAACCAGCCCTCTACCCTGCGGGGCCGTAAATTGGTACCAGAGTAATTTGGGAGGATAAAAGCACTGAAGTGGTGATCGGCTGGCCCCGCAAATCACTATAATAGGCTCGCAAGCATTCAGTAGCCTCTTCGACTATGAAGTTAAGTGCATTCGGCGCATGCCCGCAGAGGATATTGAAGACGCCGAGTCATTATTCTTTATACTGAGCAGTAGTTGCGCGCTGTTCCCAGTAATGTGCTGCATATATCCCACTAGCTGGCTTACCCGGCTCCGCCGTATCCGGACCAAACTTGGCACACATACACTTCGGGCCCCGGCGGGTGTCACAGTCCACTTTTCGTCATCGATCGATGTCGATTTTACCGATTTTTATCGATTTTTTCGCAGAGTTCACCTACAGGGCTAGGAGTTGGCACAGGGGGGAGGTGAGCATGGGGATTCCGAATACAATATTAGTTTTCAGAGTTATCGGTTACTTTTATTGATTTTCTCGATTTTTTGTAAATTTTGACATGCGAGGCTGGGATTTTGCACAGGGGGGTAATCGAGCATGCTGATTACGAACACAATATTAGTTTTCAGGATCATCCATTACTTTTATCGATTTTATCGATTTTTTTGCAAAGTTTGACCTGCGGGGCTGGGAGTTTGCGCAGGGGGTAATCGAGCATGCAGATTACGAATACAGTATTAGTTTTCAAGATCATCCATTACTTTTATCGATTTTATCGATTTTTTTTGCAAAGTTTGACCTGCGGGGCTGGAATTTGGCACAGGGGTGTAATCGAGCATGCTGATCACCCCCCTTGGGGATGATCAGCATGCTCGATTACCCCCTGTGCCAACTCCCAGCCTCCTAGCTCAAACTTTGCAAAAAATCGATAAAATCGATAAAAGTAATCGATAATCCCGAAAACCAATATTGTATTCGGAATCCCCATGCTCGATTACCCCCCTGTGCCAACTCCCAGCCCCGTAGGTGAACTCAGCAAAAAAATCGATAAAAATCGATAAAATCGATATCGATCGATGACGAAAAGTAGCCTATGACACCCGCCGGGGCCCGTAGTGTATGTGTGCCAAGTTTGGTCCGGATCGGTTCAGAAATGGAATTTTCTATTCGGAACATACGTACACACAGACTTCAGCTTTATATATAAGATACAACATGAACATAGCAACAAAGAGCATGACCTGTATCGCCTAGAAATTTGCAGAAAACGTAACGAAAAGCGTACTAGGTACGCACTTTGCATAGTCACAGCATTAGCAGCGACTGTTTGATCAGCTGAGACTCAATTTGTTTTATCCATGATGTCTGCAAATGGTTTTGAGCGTGGTGAAAAAGGAATCGTACCCATTAAACAACGCTCCTTAACATATGTGAACAGGCAGAGCCATTTTGAGCAAACTCACCAAGGTGAGACCTTCTTCGAAGTGATTTTCTGATATTGCCGTCACAAACCTGGGGGCGGGCATGTAATGGTTTTGAAAGTCGACGGTGCTTTGGTTTGACAGGAGACCTGAGTTTAGCCCTTTATTCTCAACTTCATAATTAGCAAAATCGTTTACTTGAATATTTGGACATTATCATTGCTATAGAACTTGGAAGTAAAGCCGTTTTTCGCACATAAGCACGTTCTATTAGGTTGTCAAGAAAGTTCCCGGGCACATTTGAAATATTTTCAACCATTTTTTCGGCGCTCGATCGGACTTTGACACCAAGTTTTTTGTACTGTTCAGTAGAGGGAATCCTAAAATTTTAATACGGCTTTTAATTTTTACCGATGCCAAGACGTGTTTGATCTGCACATCAAAAAAAAAAATCTCGACCATTTTTGTGAAATTCAAAGAATTTGGTCTTAATCATGGGTGATTGATTGGGTGTTTGATTGAGAAGCCTGTTAACTTCTGACCTGCAGCTGCACTCGAGTTTTGCGATTTGAGCTCAGAAAGCACAAGCTGTCAAACTTGCCTCTGACTACAACCCTTTTTGCAACTGGCGACGCCTCTGCGGGCATCGTCACGCCTGGATGATGGGTCCAAAAGATGTGTCATGCACCACCCCAACAATGTTCGCAGTAATCAAAGATTTGGTCCACCCTAAGCAGAACGACAAGACTTCAAATTCACTTACTCAAAAATGGTGCATTTCTAAGGGGCAAAAATGATGGATTTTTCAAACTTTCTGAAGAAAAAGCTGAAAAAAAGCTAAAAAGCCATAAAAAAGCTGACAGGCTTCAATTTTTTTCAATTTTCAGCGTCGGTGGAATTTCCAAACTACAAAATGAAGCATTTTTGACATCTGCTCATTTTTTCGTACAAGTGTTTTTGCATGGATTTTTTTTGCCGGATATAAAAAATGTCGCTTCTCCGTCAATTCGAGACAAAGAGAATGAAGCTGTTTTAAAGAAACCAAAAGCAGGGTGTCCCCTAAATGAGAGTTTTAGGACGAGCAGAAGGTTCTGTTCTGAAATTGCTAGACAAGAACAAAAACAATTTTCACAACAACAAGAACAATTTTTCTGCGTAACAAAGTATGGCTCTCTACGACAACGTCGTAAAAACTAATGCAAGTGACTGGGAGACATATATCCGATATACTTCTCACATCAGATTTCTCCTCATCAAATAATCCTCTCTTAGGCTCTCTTGCTAATCCTATAAACAGTGCTTGTTCCAAATCTAAAGACGATCTTAGGCGTTCATTAGACGACTTTTTGGGAACAGACCTGCTGAGTTTTGGAAAACGAAGTTGAAAATCTGACGACAGGGAGGCAGAAGTTGCTTGCGCGGCGAAAAATAGTTTATCGACTGAATTTTAACAAAACTTTGTCATTTCGTTGGTCTATGAGAGCCCACGAGCTTGTGGAACGACCTAATAGATATGTAATATATAATACATTGTAGACTTATAGTACATCTAGTAGATTTTCTGTTTAAAGGCAGTGTGTGCCTGCAGATTCGTTCCCTGGAGGATATGGCTGATGAAATTCTTGGTTCCCCACTCCTCCAGGCCAAATCCGGCTGATTGATGTTCCCCTTGTGCCGAGGAAATAGCCGTCAAACCGGCGCGCGCAACCCCAAAGGGCGCGCGCTCAGGCAGCTTTGCTTATCCGTTCGGCGTGGGACCCTATGACCGCTACCGCAATTTGCATGCTGTCGAAAGGAAATACAGGCGGCAGAGTCACCATGTCGGGGCCTCCCAACTTTCCATTGAAACTCTCGTTCGAGCTGCATTTAAAACTGGGTAAACGCCCAAAAATTGATCTTTTCACACCGTTCCAAGCTCGAGTTCGTGTTTTACGCGTCGCGTCGAAAATGCTCAAAACATGCAGAAAGGTGGAGTTGCAAAATCTGCAGGGACAGTGCTTTCAATACAGTGTCGCCGCAGGAGCGACAGCGCTTGTGCCTCAACAACACTGCAAGTTTTCGAGCGAGTGTTTCCTAGGTATTCTTCGCTTATTCCTTGCTTGTTTGGTAAATCGTTGTAAATAGATCATCGCTTGGTAGCGAGCGTACACGTGGAAGCATGTCGTGTCGCTTCAGTTTCATGCGTATTTTTTGTCTTTCCTTTTTCTTCCTGTGAAGCATTTCTTTGAAAGCTACTAAGCTTGCGCTGCAGCAACCTCGGCTTTCGCACAGGATAGCATTCAATCGTTGAGTTCGTGTGACAATAATTTAATAACAGGACAATAATTTAAGCGTGAAAGCCTACGCGAGGCAGCATCCACGTGAATACCTGAGAGTGAGCATATAATCACTTAACAACAAAAGGTATTCTCTAACTTGAATTTATTTACCAGCAACGCCTCACCTAAAAAGCAAAAATAATCAACTCTCGCAATGGCAACTGTTGACGCGCAAGCGTTGTCGCGTCTGCGGGGGCACTAAAGCAGGAAATCTGCTCGACTGTACCTGCTCAAAGTTTGGTCATAATTTGTGCAACCATCGCTTAAAATTCGTGGACAATTTCTGGAGCATGAACCTGTTTTGAAATTATTTGTTGTCATCGCGTAGACCTTTCTCACTACTTCTCACTGTTTCTCACTGATAGTATGCCTGTTTGTTCTGTTGCAAACTTGGTTGCCGTCGTAATCAGCTATTTCACTGATGTCATTATCTGATTAGGTTTTTTCGTCTCAATATGCATGTCGTTACAGTCGTTTCAAGTCCATCCTGCATATTTTGCTGAGTGCAGTTTTGTGCAATTCAACCAATATTGTACAGTCCTTACAAGACCTCGTGCTCGATTGTCGATAAATCTTGGCATTGTGGTTCAAATTGTAAATACAGTTCTTTAAAGCTGTTAACCAAGGTTGGTAGCAAGACTTTATTGTACAAAAGCCTTGGCAAAGGCACTTTAATGTACAAAAGCAAAGGCTTTTGTACAATAAAGTTTTGCTACCAACCTTGGTTAACAGCTTCAAAGAACTGTATTTACAATATGTACAGTGTTATCACTAAAGTAAAACTGTTTTGAATACAGATGAACACATTTACAGAACGGAGTATGCAACGCTGCAAAGAAAAGACAAAATAAACACTTCTCGAAACAGACACCACAAGATATAGCGTGCCTAATAGATAACTGCGAACTTTAGGCAGTTTTGCAAAATTTTGACACTCAAAAACATCGTAAGCTGCTTTGATGTCGAGGCCAATCAACACTTAGGCTGCGTTCATACTGATTCCCTTGTTCTGGAACTGTTCCCGCACAGTTCTCGCACTGTGCGGGAACTGTGCGGGAACAGTTCCAGCACTGTGCTGCATGCGCTGCAGCCGCCCCGCACCGTTTTGAACGGCGGGAGTTGGAGAATTTTGACCGTTTCCAACGGTTTTTCTTCCAGATTTCGCTCATTTTGGCCTTAATCCTCCACCCCACTTCCCTTTTTGATCAGCAGCACTGCGAACTCGAAGCGGGGTTGAAGAATGAGCGCTTTTCTGCGCCTTGTATTCGGAAAGATGGGCTATCGTGCGATTGTTCATTCTGTCTTCTTGTTTTTTGCTCAAAACTACTTCATTTGTTCCAGGAAGCGGCTGCCCAGTCTCCATAGCCATCTACCACGAATTAGGGAGTAGGAAAAATCCTGAAATTGCATGAGTTGGGACTTGTCTCTTGGTTTTCATGATTTTGGGCGTTCTTAGCCTTGTTCGTTTTTCCATGTCGTTGCTTCTCCGTTCTTTCTTCTACACCGCTTCTCCTAGTGATGAGAAAAGCTGTGAATTTGAAGAGGTGTTGAGGATTGAACGCTGTTCTGCTCCATGTATCCGGGAATATGGGCCTTCGTGCGCTCGTCCATTCTCTCATCGCTATTTTTGTTCAAACCTACTTCATATGTACTAGCAAGTCGCTGCGTAGTTTCGCATCTGTATTGAAATTGACATAGACAAGTCTCTAGAACACATAAAGTAGGCCTGAACAAAAACAGAGAAGATGGACGAGCGCACGAAGGCCCATATTCCCGGATACATCGAGCAGAACAGCGTTCAATCCTCAACCCCGCTTCAAATTCACAGCTTTTCTCATCACTAGGAGAAGCGGGGTAGAAGAAAGAACGGAGAAGCAACGACATGGAAAAACGAACAAGGCTAAGAACGCCCAAAATCATGAAAAACAAGAGACAAGTCCCAACTCATGCAATTTCAGGATTTCTCCTAGTCCCTAATTCGTGGCAGATGGCTATGGAAACTGGGCAGCCGCTTCCTGGAACAAATGAAGTAGGTCTAAACAAAAATAGCGATGAGAGAATGGACGAGCGCACGAAGGCCCATATTCCCGGATACATGGAGCAGAACAGCGTTCAATCCTCAACCCCGCTTCAAATTCACAGCTCTTCTCATCACTAGGAGAAGCGGGGTAGAAGAAAGAACGGAGAAGCAACGACATGGAAAAACGAACATGGCTAAGAACGCCCAAAATCATGAAAAACAAGAGACAAGTCCCAACTCATGCAATTTCAGGATTTCTCCTACTCCCTAATTCGTGGCAGATGGCTATGGAGACTGGGCAGCCGCTTCCTGGAACAAATGAAGTAGTTTTGAGCAAAAAACAAGAAGACAGAATGAACAATCGCACGATAGCCCATCTTTCCGAATACAAGGCGCAGAAAAGCGCTCATTCTTCAACCCCGCTTCGAGTTCGCAGTGCTGCTGATCAAAAAGGGAAGTGGGGTGGAGGATTAAGGCCAAAATGAGCGAAATCTGGAAGAAAAACCGTTGTAAACGGTCAAAATTCTCCAACTCCCGCCGTTCAAAACGGTGCGGGGCGGCTGCAGCGCATGCAGCACAGTGCTGGAACTGTTCCCGCACAGTTCCCGCACAGTTCCCGCACAGTTCCCGCACAGTGCGAGAACTGTGCGGGAACAGTTCCAGAACAAGGGAATCAGTATGAACGCAGCCTTAGAAATCTGAACACTTAGGTTCTCCCTTAACGTTCCTTAATACCAATTTGTTCTCCCAAGGCACGAGGAAAAACCCAACAGCTTTCCAAAAAGACTGTGAATCACCGTTCACAGACTATTGTGTAGCCTGCATTTCTTCTCCCGATGAAACTTAAGAGCCAAAGTGTTCTTTCACGGTTTTGAAATGATCTTCTGAAAGTTTGTGCTTGAGTATTTGTAGCTCAAAAATTCATCAATCACCTATAAAACTTCTTTATAGGTGTAAAATCTCCGTTATTACTTTGATTTTTGGAAAAGTAAGTCAGTTGCAATTGTAAAGAAAAGCAGCATACAGTGGGAAAAGAATATCGCACCGATTGGTGATTTAATTCACTTGTCTTGTTCTTCGAGATCTCGATAGGCCTAAATCGAAATTCGGTCACTCTAACAAATAATGATAAAACACTAAAGTTAGCTGTAAAAAAAGTACACACTGCAAACGATTTTTCCATTTGTTAATCATAAAATAACCTTTCTAAAAGTTTGGAATGAAGATTTTGAAAAAGAAGCTGAACATAGCGTTAAGTGCTTGCTGAAAGAATTAACCGAAAGCATAGCGTCGGATACTTCAAACGTCTGCCTATCTTAGCTCTTCAAATTTGTGGATCGCCCTAAAAGGGCGAGCTTTTGGCCAACAGTACATAAGTATCGATAAGCAGCAATGACTTACCTAGGTTTTGAAGATGTGCAATGTATTTGCAATCAAAGCGCCGCCCTTTGATGCTAGTGTTTGTAGGAAGGCGATAGCAGAAGTCGTAAATCACATTTTCATGTTGGCACGCACAATCGTTCCGAATGATGTCATACTGAAAGATTTGAAATAGTATTCTCAAACTTCTATTGTTATCTACTTTGCTTGTTTGAAAGGTGTTAGTCTTTAACTCACTGCGAAATCCTCCTCTACTGATACGAAGGTTGTAGGATACATGCGGAAGAATAACGAAACGAACAGGTAAGCGAAAACAGCACTACAACTCCATGTCAGTCTTTGACTTACTTTTTCGGAGCACATTGCTGGAATGCCAAGCTGGAATGAAAGTCGTTAACTATCCATAGTGAATGATCAGGCCAGGAACAGAATCAAAATGAGTCAACTCATGGAAGTAACAGCACCTAGCTCCGATATGTTTATGCAAAAATTGTGTACAGATTAAGAAAAATAAACGTTTACGTTTAGTTCGTATTGCGTACACTTTGCGAACAGACATTTAACCATTCATTCTGAAACGAGGGAAGAACGATATTTTTCACATCCTTAGCCTAAAATCCTCTTGCGAATATTCTCGCGCTGCCTACTTTCAAACCGGTTGGGTTCGATAAGATTTATTTATCTATTTATTTATGCACACATGGTGTTCCAAGAGTGAAAACAACAGAAGTAAAGTGCCTGGACAGAATACAGTGATCGTGCTCTCGGTTCTTCAGGACGTTCTCCTCATTCGAACGATGAGGGGTACCTTTCTAGTTCCCGTTTCCATGCACGAAAGCAACATCATGACGTCACAAGTAATTAGACGGCTCAGCTGACCAACTTAACCAGGAGCGGACCAATCCGTCAGGATCCTAGGCGAGCGGGGTGGGGAGATCCCAAGGTAAAGGGCTTATTCCTTGTCGATATACTCGAACGGCTACCTTTGAAGAAGCGATCTAACTTTTGCCGAAAACGAATGCAACGGGGCAATAGGAAGGAAAGCATTTTTTGAGTGCTAACAAGGAGAGGATACTTAGTCGAAAGCACCCCAAGGGAGACATACATCATCTGAAAGCGCTTAAAACGCTGATTACAAATCCGTAGTTTCTAGCTGCGGAACGGTTTTGTAGAAAGAGTTATGAAGGGTGTTTCCTTCTGGGGTTGAGGCGCCCTTTAGATGTCGGCTCTTGTCTACGAGCATTATAGAAACACAAAATGATGTAATGGTGAGTAATCCGAATGAACATCACAATAAGGATTATAATATTTATATTACTTTGGTTTTTCAACACTTCTAACCTTTGATTAGCATCAATATCAACAGAATCGTCAGGCTTTAGGGCTCCAAAGTCATTTAGAAGCTCAATTTTGCAAAAATTGTGGTAAAGTTGCATGCGAAGGGACTAAAATCCTGACACTTTCCCTATCAAGAAAATCACTTACCACTAGGCCAGTTGCCAGCGGTTGGTACTCCTCTACAGTGCTCATAGATAAGCGAACACATGCTGGAAGCGCCTCAACCCCATATAGGGAACACCCCTCATACCTTCTTCTACAGAACAGTTCCGCAGCTAGAAACTATAGATTTGGAATCAGCGTTTCAAGCGCTTTAAGATGACAAATGGTTTATTTGAATTGGGTGCTTTCGACTAGGTATCCTCTCCTTGTAAGTGTTGAGCAAAATATGCAAAAAAAAACCCCGAAAATCTGCAATAAATGGTCAAAAATCGTTGATCCAGTTCCAAAATTACCACGAAAAAAAAAAGAAAGTTGCAAAAGCTTGAGGAAGATGCACCGCCATTGATAAAAGAGGCAACGCAGTCATCACCTATCGAAATGCACAAAACTTCTAAGACATTGGTTGATCTCAACTTTCTGCGAAATTCTAAAAAGCTTTTGGAAGAAGTTATGTTGAAATGTGCGACTCTCTATGAACCTCGGCATGGTGTTGATATTGTTGTTTATGATACTGAGCCGTGATCCGAGATTGTTAACAGTTTATTGGCTGACGCTTCGGCAAGTCGCCTTCTTCAGAGCCTGGAATGGACAGAACGACTTGCAAACTATTCGACCAAACGTCTCTGCAGCTATGCAAACAAAACTCTAAGACTTTGGTAGACCGATAGTTAACTGCCTGACCAAACACTCACCTTTTGAAACGCCGATGGAATTCTGATGCCAGAGCGAGAGCAATATGGTTAAACGCTAATGGCACGGCTATTTATAACGTCTCCGCCAGGTCAGAAGATCTGACCTAGGTACGGAGCGAGTTCACGAGTGATGGATAGGCATTCTTCCTTACGATTCATTTTAGGGCTTTTGGCATGGATCCAAAAGGCCTCTAAACATTTGCGAGCTGGTGTATGTGATTCATGCGCCAGGATTTTCACTGAGACGTCAAAATTTGTCTCCGCGTGTTTCAGCGTCCTGTGAGTGCCTAGTGGGGTAGAGGTTCGTAATCTATCCCTGCCGTCTAAGTGCTCTCTAATGCGAACACATAGCGGCCGCGCTGTCTCGCCTATGTACTCGTCGCCGCAGTTCGCGCAGGTGATAAGATAGATGATCCCCGTCGCCATGCAGTCTCCGCACCTACCCTCAGGGCATATAATGCAATTGGGCGTAGTGCAGCCGCGATCATAGATGCGATTGCGGACCAAAATACTTTTAAGGTTATTAGGGGGTGTTTCCACTATTGCAACTGTATTTTCCAGCCCACATTTCCTCAAACACTGTCGAAAGGCAGTGCTCACTTCATCGGAAATATAGGGGATGCAGAAAGGTATCTTATCAACTGTGCTCGTTCTGTCTACCTCGGTACGGCGATTTTCACCCCTCCTTGCTGTTCTACCACGATTTTCGTACCCATTGGAGGCCGCAATTTTCCGCGCAAGCGCCACTGATTCCACTCTTTCTTGCTGTCCACTGGAAACACGAAGAGCTGTCCAAAACATATTCTTCATGATGGCTTTCTTTGTTTGACGCGGATGAGCTGATCGGAAATGGACAAGAATATTTTTATTACTTGGCTTGCGGTACCATTTTGTCATGCACACACCTGAGGATATATTAACCTGCACATTCAAAAATGGCAACCATTCATTGCTAGGCCTTTCCCTCGTGAGCTTTATGTATGCAGATTGCTCATAAAGTACTCTAAAACAATTGTCAACCTCTGCCTGTGTTGAACAGATTATGAAACAATCGTCAATGTATCTGCAATACAGCAATGGGCGGCATTCCAAGACTGGCGCTTCGATCTTGGCCATGAAGGCTACCGCAAGTGTAGGCGCTAACCTTTGTCCCATCGCCAAACCTCTTACTTGCGCGTAATAGCTCCCATGCCACTTGAAAATGTTGCATTCTAAACACGCTTTGAGAAGTGTCATAAGCTGTGGGATTGAGAGCCCGTAAAGGTTTATGTTAGTTTCGTTACCCGTGAGAAGCTCAGAGACAGCTTGCTGAAGACAGAAGTTATGTTTTTCGGTAATAGACTCATCCATCTAGCATGACAGATGAAAGTGTTAAATGCTGTAAAAAATCTTGATTCTCAATTTACGATACCAAAGCGAAATCTACCGCTTGGTTGTGCCGCACGCGTCTGTACGTGAAACTACGTAACCTCAAGGTGATAGTCTGGAAGCGCAGGATGGTAATGACGAGGGTGATTAGGTTCGGGAAGGCATCTGTAGAAAATGATTTTTGAGAAAGTCTTATGTACTCTTTCTAGCTTCTCACTATTCTTTCTTAAAAAGGACTCCATACCGGCGACGCAAATTCTGAAATCGGTAAAACATAAGCTTTATACAATTTCAAAAGAGCTGGGTCGTTGCTGTGTATGCTTCAGACAACTAGAAGGAGGACAGATAATGCTTTATTGGTGTTACGGAATCACTGTGGAGGGAAAATTGAGCTGGTTTTCATCAAAAACTCCTAAATCTTCAGTGCCACTGCATTATTCCAATTCAGTGCCATCGCATGTATGAATCTGAGTAGAAGAATTATCAAGGAGCATCACTTTGAGTTTGAGCGCATTAGCGGGTGAATTCCGTTGCTTTGACCAAAAAATCATTTATTTGTATAGAAGCGTTGCAATGTTTTCTGCATGTTGTTCTTCATCCTTATAACAAAAATAAACGTTGATGTTGTCCGCAAAAATCTTCATTGTGATCGAGTAGGGAGTGGGTTTTGAGAAGTGAAGGTAATTCAGCGGTGTATGTAAGACAAAGAAGTGGCGAAAGTATGCCTCTTCAAGGTACTCCGCTTTTGCAGGAAAATCGCCTTGAAAATCTTATTTCCTCGCAAACAGTCATGCGCCTGTCATAAAGAAAAAATTAATCAGCCGAGCCATTGTCGGCGACGTAAGTTTCAAGCTTGTCAGCCCTGTCAAAGCTTTCGATAGATTAAAGAATACAACATACATTGATTTATTTTCTTTGACGGCTGATCCGGTCAAAAAATGTTTCTGAATGCAGTGGTGAAATCTCCCGGAAGAAGACATTTAAACGGAAGGGAATGTTTTTTCAACCAGTCAAGTAGCTTGTCCTTGACACCCAAAGTTTCTGCTTTTTCTCTGTCCTCTCGATCATGTTATCAATTTCCTTTTTAAAATCAGAAAGTTTTACTTCCTCTTACCTACTTCTAAGATAAGCATGAATTTCTTTGATCATATCTGGAAAGACGGGCTTCCGATTAGTTAGAAACTTTCTGACGTGATAGCCGATGTCCCGACAAACTTTTTTTTGTAGAAATGGTAATTCAGAGAATCCTGCAAATTCGAGAAATTCTAATTTTCTGTTCAAACAAATTCTTTATATGAGAATGTTTTTTTTTGTTTTTCAAAATTCTTCCAATTTGACGGTCTCATCTCTAGAATCATTCATCAGCTGCTGCCGTTCCACCACTGCTAATAACTGCAACATACAATACGCCCAACTCTTATTAAACTGTAAGAGTTTCGTCTCTTGACACTTTTATAGCTCATAGTTCTTTGATACGGGGTGCGAAATTAGACCTATGTCCTAAAATTGCACAGCGTTGATAGGTATACTGAAGATGGTTGGTCACTGAGAGAAGCTGCTGTATGTTCCAACTTACCCCTCTTCATTGTTATCAGGTATGTGAGAAGAGCGTAGCGGTGTGCAGCGCACTCATAATATTGTGACGCTTTAGAAATTCGTCTCTGTGCCAATCAATACAATTGCCTAGCTTCCAAATTGAATCTTGGGGCTTGAAGCCCAAGAGATCTTAGATTTGTATATTATTAGTTTCTTCATTCTTTTCCATTGTCATATTATCTGCTTCTGTAATTTTTCATTCAACTAAGGTGGCTTTACATTTAGAAATGTTTTTTATTAGGAACTCAAGTCAATAAGAATTGTGACCGCTGTGAAAAAAAAACGACTTCTTTGAATGTTTCGAAAAAGTGACCTTATATGAGTACGTACACTTTGAAAATGTAAAATTCTCTACTGACCACTTTTCTCGTCTATCGAGATGTAAGTCGCTTTCGAAAAATACAGTCTACTTCTGAATGTTCTTTTATGCATGCAGCTGTCCCGTTTCATGCATTTTCAAAAGAAACATCTATTCTTTTTTGGTGCATGTGAAAGGGCACTTTATCAATTTGCACATCATTTCTAAAGGCTTGACAAATCGCAATTCTTGTCTGCTAAACAATTCTCTGAAAGAATTGATAAGGGACCGAGCATACCTTGTTGAAGAGCCCCGAAACGTGTATAAGGGAGCTCAAAAGCCCCTAAATCAAGTAAGCTAATAACATCAAACTGTAATTCGAATGAGAGACATTAATATAATATGCATGCTTTCCTTGATATTCGCTGGCCATTGAATCCTTGCAAATGCTCTTTTTGACAAGATATGCAGCTGCTCTGGGTTACCATTGACGATGTTGAACTAGTGAAGAGTCTATTAGCTAAAGATTTGGGAGTTTTGATACAATCAAAATTCATTGACCATATCGACTACGCAATACTGCTGCAAATTGCGATTTCTCGAAACATTCACAGACAATTTGTTTGGACTTTATAAGGTATAGTGATCCCACATCTTGACTATTGCCCACGTATGGATTATGAATCCAACATTCGAAAAATCTTTGAAGGCTGATTTTTTCGAAGAATTTTTGCACGTATCATTAACTTTACTAGAATAAAATCGCTTTGCAAGAGGACTGCAGCTAATTTGACTTGTTATTTCCAAATATGGCGCGGGGAGATGAGGAGATTAATCTGCAATCCAACACCTTCGATATTTAGGTCTGCAACGTAAATTTGGAGGAATTAATGTGCATAAAACTGTTTTAATGCAGAACTCTTCATTTTTATTTTTTAAGGTTCTTCATACTACGCCGCAGGCTGCGGCGCACGCTGCTGCAGTTGCAGCGAAAATATGCAAAATATAACAATAAAGTAATACTATACTTACAAGTAATACTAGATAGAATAGCACATTGAAGTTATTGACTAAGAACTAACGAATCGAAACATGTTTGGCGAAATCGAAATCGCACCCAAAATTCAACTCAAATGAAAACCGTTGAACCTATGATGGGACAAGGCGAAAGAGAAAAAAGACTGCTAATTCTAAATGGTCACTCTCTACGAATGCGAACGTGCGCAGCAGATATAGAGAAACACGAGAAGCTGCGGTGGCATGGGCGCATTTTCGATGCGACTGCAGCGGCGCAAGCGCAGGCGCGGTAGGTTGCAGCAGGCTGCGGCGTAGTATGAGGGAACCATTATTGTCATGCTCTTTGATTTCGTAAGTTGCCTTCAAAACTGTTAACAGCCAAAACAAGTCATTAATAAAAAAATATTAATTTGTCCCATAAGTCTTTTCATATTCAAATCATTGAATTAATATTAGGCCGTTCCAAAAGTTCTTTCCGTTTTTTTTAACCTATCCGACACATGGAATGTAAGGGAAGCGCTTTAAACGCTATCCGACGCATTTTTTCTTCCTCTTTTCAACAGTCATATTTCTGTGTCGCTTGCTCTTGTGGTCAGTGAGATAATTGCCGAAATTTCGAACCCATGGTTCTTACCATGTCCAACTTTGGCAGTTTTTCACAATTTTCATTTTTGACTTTTGGAGAAGCTTCAATAGCAGTCGGATAGAGTAAACAAAGTGCAATTTAATGGAGTTTTTGGCATTTTTAACTGGCTTCTCAGTGTTTTTTGAGACAACTTTTCCAGATATCTTCACTTTTTCGAAGTCACAAAACACACAAACGCTCCGAACATCAACAAATCTTCAGATTTCGACACTTTCAAAAGTCGTTTATGATTTTCCACTATTTTTACAAAGTAACTGAGTATTTACCGCTTCGAAATATAAGATTTTGCATCACGTGTATAAGCTTAGGCGGGTTCAAAATCAAGAATTATGGAAATTTTACCGCCAAAAATTCCCACAAATTGGGAAGAAAAATACTCAATAGAAAGAGGAGGAAGAGCTGCATCGAATGACACCTCAGTTGTGAACCGCTTCATGTTCTATGGTTCTTGGCATCACCAACAGTGGAATTTGATACTATCAAAAAAATAACTCTAAATAATTTTTAAGGCTAGCTGTAGACGCTGAAAAATTGCATTAAATTGCACTTTGTTCCATCTATCTGACTGTTATCAAAGCTCTCTAGAAGTCAGAAAAGAAGATTGTGATAAATTGCCAAAGTTAGACATGGTAAAAACCATGGGTCCGAAATTTCGGCGATTATCTCACTGACCACAAGAGCAAGCGGAGCAAGAATACAACAGTTGAAAAGAGGAAGAAAAGCTGCGTAGGATAGTGCTTGAATCGTTTCCCTATCTTTATTCCAGGTGTTTTTATAACAGGTTGAAAAAACGGAAAGAACTTTCGGAACGACCTAATATAAAGCTGAATTTCTGTTTGTATGCGTGTGCGTCTGTACGTATGTTCGAATAGAAATTTTTATCTCTGATCCGATCAGTATTAAAATTTGACACATGCACTTCGGGGCGGACATTTGTCGTAAACTATTTTCCGTCATCGATCGATAGCGATTTTATCGATTTTTATTGATTTTTTGGGAACTTTGACCTGCGGAACTGGGAGCTGGCACGGGGATGATCGAGCATGCTGATTACGAATATAATATCAGTTTTTGAATTATCCGTTACTTTTATCGATTTTTTTGCTATAGCTAAGCTAAGTTCAAGCTACAAAGCTGGGAGTCAGAAGGTATGTGAGCATGCTGATTACAACACAGCGAATGGGGATTCGCGTGTAGAATTGGGCAAAGGGAAAAGTTGTAAAGGGGTAGGGATGGGACCTTTATCGTAGTGTTTTGACAGCGCAGGGCGGAGCCGGGTAAGCCAGCTAGCAAGCTATACAATCACAATTTTGCAAGGAACACAGAACCGCTACCGGCAGAGTTTGTAAAGACAGCGCATTATTTTTTTTCCTTGATTACAGCCATCAGAAAATTGCGACAAATGTATGTATAAATATTTGATGGGAGAGCATATGCGTTGGCGGATATGAAATCCGCAGAATTGTTTGACCCAACGAGGGAATGGTCAGAATTCGATATGGTCAATCCAAGCAAGCTGCATACCATCATGCAGCATAAAATGCTGACTTCGAATCTGTATTCCATATCTGCTTAGCGCCTATGTGAGCGAAGTTATGAGCCGTTGAAAGCCGTGATTTTGCTAAGAAATCGTGCATAAAGGCGCAAATTTGGCAGTAGAGCTGCAGGGCTTATCACACGCATTTTCACTTGCATCAGCATTTCCACTCTCGCTCTAGAGTCTGCGTCTGCTCTAGAGTCTCTTCCGCAAACATGCTCTCTAATCACTTCCAATCGATTGAAGCTCCGCCTTTCCAACGCTTGCCCTGGGAAAGTGATCAGAGAGCATGTTCGCGGAAGAGATGCAAAGTCCAGCGCGGGAGTGGAGATTCCTGATGCAAGCGACACTGCATTTAATGAGTCCTGCATGTTCGGCTTAATGTTGGGTTAGAACATGCAGTTAGTTTGATTTATATTCTCAAAGCCTAGAGGTGAGCTAACGGCAACAATGTGCTCAAATTCGCAATTTTTAGGTACAATTTTTTCCGCATAAAACTACTCATAACTTCATCCACAAAGGCGATAAGCAGATAGAGAATAAGATTTGAAATCAGCTTTGAATACTGCATCGAATGGTAGAGCTTGCTTGGATTGGCCACTTTAACTTCTGACCATTTCCTTGTGAGATACGGTTAATTCCGCTTCTCAGAAATTCGGAAATTTTCCTATTTTGGCTTGAAACTCAAGTGAAACTTAAGCAAATAAACAAGCGAGTTCCGTTGGGTCGAAGTGGCTTTTTCACATAGAGATGACACTGCTATAGAGAGCTTTGAACGCTGATTCCAAATCTGTCTCCATCATCTGCTGAGTGCCTCTGGACGTCAAGTTAAGAGGGTTATTTGAGTTGAAAAACTGAATGCATAATTAAAACGAAATTCGTCAGATTTGCTCAAATGGTCCAATGTTGATTATCAGAGCACTCTATTTGAACAATACCTCCGGTCCAAAACCCTCATGCTTAACACTGTTCTACTTGAGCGCCGAAACCGTAAAATTTGATTTTACCTAGATTATGCGTTCATTTTGTGCACTTAAAAATATTCATAACTCGGCATGCAGAGGCGCTCGGCAGATAACGGATTCAAGTTTGAATCACCGTTCGACTCTCTTCAAAGTAGTATAAGGCTCATTTGGGAAGGCCACTTCGACTAATCGGACCTCCCTTGTAAACGGTTTTTTCAGCAATATTAATTGCTGCTGTTATTCTTTCTAAGACTTTGATTTCCCAGTGTCCCCTTTGTTCTGCATATCTTTCGTGGCTTATTTTTAATTTATAAATCCATACACCACTGTACTTCACGCAGTTGCGAAATTAAGGATGGATTCTCCTTTTTTTCAAATTCGTGGCTTCCTCTTTTTCTTCTATCCTGGTGTCACTAAATGTCTGACTTTATATGTGTTCGGTATAATGATTGTACCAACAATCGCTTCGACCAAACCGGTTACAATGTATCATGTTGTCCCATAAGTTCCGTGCGTTTTGATTGTTCGCATAAATCATGGACGTCTTGTTTATAGTA